TATATTTTTAATGGTTGAAATTTATCATAATTTTTTAAATTAAAGCAATAATTATTTTTAAAAATGTTAGAATCCCTAAAACTTCTCCTTGCTAGAATCCTTGACATTCCTCCTTTAATTGATATGTAAATAGTTGTATCTTAGGAGATTATTTTTCTTTATTACTCTTGATTTGATTTCCATTGTAATTAGAAAAACTATCCATATTTAGAATAGGTTAACCCCTATATACTGTACTGTTTTTCATTGTCAAAGGGACGAAAGTTTTTACCCTAAATTCTTCATGGTATCAGAGCCAACCTTAGGTTGTTAAAATTCTTGGCCTTCATTGCCGCTTTATCTTGGTTCTGCCTTCATTGCAGCCAACTTACTAATCTATTTCTTGAGTTCTTTTTGAAACCAGGATTGGCCTGCATTGCCAAAGCTAGCTTCACTTCAAAATGTCAAACGATTCAACCAATATCCAAAGACCCATTGCAACTCCTGCTGCATCTATTTTTGATTCTTCTTCTAATGGATCCAATGGTGAGCTTCAAAATATGAATGCACTTTATCATCTTGATGGGACAAATTACCTACAATGGAGCCAGATTGTTTGAACTTTTCTCAAAGGATGTGGGAAGAAAAGCCATTTGATTGGCATTGCTCCACGCCTTGAGGATCTAAAATTCAAGGCATGGGATGAAGAAGACTCCATGATCATGTCATGGCTATGGAACTCTATGAGACCAGAAATCAATTGGAATCTGATGTTTTTTCCAACTGCAAAGGCCATGTGGGAAACTTTGCAATAGACTTACTCAAAAAAGAAGGATCCCGCCCTAGTCTATGAATTGAAAGTGCAGGTATTCTCCACCAAGCAGAGAAACATGTCAATGACAGATTACTACAACCAAATGACAGGATTATGGTTGGAGATTGACCACTATAGAGATATCCAAATGAAATCCAGTAAGGATGTCCAGCTTTTCCAAGAGGTCATTAGGGATGATAAGGCATTTGAGTTCCTTGCTAGCCTAAATGTTGAATATAATCAGATTAGAGGTAAAATTCTAGGTAATAGTCCTTTGCCTTTTCTTCGTGAAATTTTTTCAACTGTTTGTGCAGAGGAAAGTCGAAGGAGTGTCATGCTGGAGTCACACTCAACCGAAGCTTCTGTGTTGGCCTCTTGAAGGATTGGAAGAGGAAACAAAGCAAGGAATGATGACCTCAAACCATATCATACAAAACAGTCCAACAAAGATGGACTTTGGTGCACTTATTATAAGAAACCATGCCATATTAGGGACAATTGCTTCAAGCTACATGGGAAAGCTCAAGTATTAGCTCGAAATGGGGGATTTAAGAACTCAATGCAAAGTCAAGCCCATCTGACCAGCAAAGAAGTATCCCCCCAGGAGATGGTGAGTCAGAATGAAGAAAAGGTTGAGTTCAATCAATAGGAGATTGAGAGGTTACGAAATCTTCTTGATTCACTTAACAAAACTTCAAGCTGTAGTTTTCTCGCTCAAGCTGGTATGTGTCTCTTGACTAAATCTCCTAAAGTTTCTAGTACTGTTTCATGGACTATTGATTTATGTGCAATTGACCACATGACCTACAACCCTACTGCTTTTGATTCTTATAAACCCATTTCGAGAAACCAAAAAATTATAATAGCAGATGGATCCCTTATCACCATTGTTGGCTAAGGAAGTATTTGTTTATCACCCTCAATTTCTTTGAGTAATGTTTTGCATATTCCAAAACTATCCAGTAATCTTATTTCCATCCACAAAATTACCAAATATCTTAATTGCAAAATAGTCTTTTTTGATTCTCACTATATTTTTCAGGATTTGGCTTTGGGAATGACAATTGGATTTGCTAAAGAACGAGATGGGTTGTACTATCTTGAAGAGTTGCAAGGTTGTGAAATGAAGGGGAACCAACTTCTTTTAACCCATTCAATCCCACTAAATAAAACTAAGGCATGGACTTACCATCTTCGCCTTGGTCACCCTCCTTTCCAGATGTTAAAGGGCATGTTTCCTACCTTATTTAAGGATGTTTCTGTTCAAGACTTCCATTGTGACAATTGTCAATTTACAAAACATAGACATGTCTCTTTTCCTCCAAGTTTTATAAATGCAATAAACCTTTTTATTTAATTCACACTGATATTTGGGGACCTTAAAAAATTCCTATTGTCAATGGGGCAAGGTGGATTGTGTCTTCTATAGTTAATTATATTTGTACAACATGGCTTTTTCTCATGAAAGAGAAATCTGATGTTAGTACTCTGTTTTCCAAATTTCATAAAATGATTTCCACCCAATTTGGAGAAAAAATAAGGAGAGTTCGTTCTGATAATGCTAAAGATTATTTCAACAAAACTTTCTCCTCATTCTTTGAGATAGAGGGAATTATTCATGAGTCCTCTTGTGTTGAGACACCCCAACAAAATGGGGTTGTTGAACGAAAAAATAGGCACCTCTTAGAAGTTACTCAGGCAATTTTATTTCAATCCAATGTTCCTAAAAATTTTTGGGATGAGGCAGTCTTGACTGCCGCTCATTTAATTAATCAACTACCTTCTAAAGTCTTGGAAAACAAAAGTCCTATCCATGCTTTATTTGATTTCTTTCCAAAATCTATTTCAATTAGAAGTCTTCCTCCATAAATCCTTGGGTGTGTTGCTTATCTTCATATTCATAAGATACACAGATCCAATTGGATCCTAGAGCTCGAAAATGTCTTTTTATTGGCTACTCTCCCACACAAAAAGGGTACAAGTGTTATGACCCCTCTAGTAGGAGAATTCTTGTCTCTCTAGATGTCACATTTAATGAAATTGAGTCATTCGTTAAATCTTCCCGATCTCATCTTCAGGGGGAAAGTGTTTTGGGTGAAGATGAACATTCTGGTTCCATTTCCTTTCTAGAAGAACTAGGTGGTCTTAAATCAACTAAGCAAAGTTCCCTAACTTCTCCAAATAACCCACTTGAACTTGAACCTATCATGCCTAACCTCCAACTACAGCCTTCTTCGCAACCAGCCAATCCTATAATTTTGCCTAATCCTAGAGTCACTACAAAATTACAAGAATAGAATTTGGTTCAATCTCTAGCAAAACAACTAAAGCAATATTCTAGGAAAGTACAACCTGCACCAGTCCAGCAGCAAATGCATGAATTCGACTCGAGTTCAAGTAATGAAAATACTCCAATTATACCTCTATCTGATGCTACTAAATCTATTTCAATTGATAGTCTACCTAGTTTAGATCTTGACCTTTCTCTCCCCATTGCCGTAAGGAATGGTACAAGAAGGTGTACCCAACACCTCATATCCAACTTTATATCCTCTCATTGACTTTCCCCTCGACACAAAAGTTTCCTGTCCACCTTGAACTCAATTGAAACTCCAAAAACAGTACATGTTGCTTTAAGAGATAGGAATTGGGCATGTACGATTATTGAAGAGATGAATGCTTTAGATAAAAATGAAACTTGGGATATTGCTACACGTCCTAAAGAAATAAGAACAATGGGGTGTAAATGGGTCTTCGGAGTGAAATTTAAAGCTGATGGAACACTTGAGAGGTATAAGGCAAGGTTAGTGGCAAAGGGTTCCACACAAACTTATGGGGTTGATTATCAAGAAACTTTTTCTCTAGTG